CTGGTAAAAAAAAGGAAAACTTCGATTCGGCCTTGGCGATTACGGGAAAAAAAAGAAGAGTTATCGGAAAAGGGCTTTTCCTTTTTATTTTTCTTTTCGATTTGTCACGGGTTTTCTTTTCGAGATCAGTTCGGGGCGGAGAGACTGTGGACTTTGGAGCAGCAGGAGCAGGAAAAGACGCGCACGTTCACTTTGCCAACGCAACAGACACTGGCGGGCATTGGCCAAGAAAAGCCACTCGGAAAATGGCCCGGCCACCAGCTGACAGACAGAGAGAGAGAGTGAGAGAGAGCGAGGAAAATCCAGAGAGCAGATCTCTGGGCTGCCAACAACTTTTTTTTTGGGCGGCAGCAACACGTTCTCTGCTCGCGAGACACGCACACTTCCGGCGGCGGAAAAGCGGGGGGAAAACTGGGGCGGAAAGTGAGGGGGGGAGCGAACCAGGAGCTGCACTCGCCGGCCATAAACAACAATGGTAGTTGCAACAATCTGTGGCCAGGCCCAAAAGCCTAAAACAAAAGGCCTAAAGACACCCCGTCTCCCCGTCTAAATAAATCCCTACCCCATCTTCGAGTTAAAAGTCCGAATGGCATCAAAAATGATGGTGGGACAAAATATTAAATATGAATTAATAAGTTTCGAATAAAATAACAAATTTTAATTTAAAGTTATAAAAATGTTTGGAAAAATATTTACACACTAAATTATATGATATATATTTGCCTTATTCTATTTTAACAATCGACTTTTATTTTAAATGCAATATTAAATTTTATTCGCATCAAATTACCTATGAATATTTTTTTAACTACATGATTTGTAAAGTATATTCCCTGTCATAAAAATATAATTTAAATTGTTGTATTTAAATATGAACTTTTTTTTAAGTCCAAAAGCTAAAACAAATTGTTCCGAACCACTGTGCATTTGAGCAAACTATTTACATACTCGTATTTATTTCTCGCACGCTCGCGAATGACAACGAAAGCGACAACGAGGCGGAGAAAAGTGGTAGGGGAAGCTAAGAACGGAGAAAGGAGTGTGGAGAAAGCAGAAAGGAGAAAGGAGGAATCAGAATGCGAGTGACAGGGAAAAGGACAGCGACAACCCTACGAAGACCCGATATCCAATGATTTGAAGCGACATCGCAAGGAGTCTGACTTGGAGCTGCAAAAATTACACTGCAAAAAATGATATTCACTTCTCTTGAACCTTGAACCTTTTCCTGCGATGAAACTGAGCCTTTTGAGAATATTTTGAAAAAATGTTTAGTACCTAAGAACTTGTGAATAATAAATTCTAAGCATTTCTTCTTATTTTTACGCATCAATGAAATCAGTTAAATTAATTGAATTTCCTATAGAACTCCGTTAGATTTTAAGAAATCCTATTCGTTCCCTAACTAAGTTCCCTTTTTCATAAATTATTTTATTTTATTTTACAAGCATCTTGCCCTTTTTTCTCGCTGTGTGCGAGTGAAGGGTTTGCGCTCTGCATTGTTGTGATTTCCGCTCATTATTGCTGCAATCAGGCGGCCGGAGCCCTTTGTCCTGTGGAAAGTGGAAAGGACATGTGACGTAGCCGGGATTTATGCGTATTTTGATTCCTGCGCCTAGACATCATGCGGGGCATATCAATTGGAGTTTTATGAGGACGAGCACAGCTGGAGTGTGGGCATAAAAACTGTCTGACATATCCGCTGGCCGATTTGATTAAGTTGTCCCAGCGCGACCAGCTGCCTTCGCCACACAGCTGTCCAAAAAAATAGGAATTGTAAATTTTGGAAAAAAGAAAATCCTATTCAAGATGCGCATCGTAAAGCTAAAATGTTGACGGGCTAAAAATAAATCTAAAAATTATATTTCCGTAATATCCAGCACTATCAATATTTCTTGTCAACCAAATTCAATTCAATTTTATTAACAACAAAAATATTTTATCGAATTATTAAATATTTCTTTGGAAGGCAGATTACGGATAATATTATCCTATTGTCTGCCCCTCGAGTGTGGCCGTATCTGTATCTGAATCTCGTTCTGCATCTGTATCTGTATCTCGGCAGCTGCCGCAGTCGCCGCAAAAATGGGTGTGAGTTCGGAGGAGCCGGAGGAAGTGCCTCAAAATTGAGAATGGGCACTGGAGGCTGAAGCTGAGGCTGCTGGCCATCAAAATTCAATTGGTTTGAGGCACTACGTGAGTCGCCTAGCATACTCAGTCCCCGAAAGATTGGCCCGTCTTGAGACAATGGCGGATCCCTCTGCATAATTCGGCCATTAGGCGATGTTTTTGGAATCCGGGGATTCTGGCAGACATTGAAGAAGGCGCAGAGCAGACAATGTCCGGAAAAGGCGAATGGGAAAAAGCCTTGCCTTGCCTCATTAATGCACCCGAAAAACATTACCCGCCTGGGAAACTGAAAATGCATAGATATGTTTTTCCTCAGATTTTCCGTCATTGGGCCCAGCGCCAAATGATGCATTAAAACCAAAGGGATGAGCGGAAAATAAAAACATGTTAATTATCGCTTAGACTTGAGAAAAGGTGTCCCTGGTTGTTGGAGGTTATTGCAGAATTTTATATATTTTATAGAATATTAATAATAATATTTACAATCGTATTGCAATAGCATCATTGATACAAATATTTAAATGACCCTTAAAATATGTATTATATATTACATATTTTTAAAAAATAATTTTTAAATGTATCCTTGTTTACCGCTATTTCCTTTTCTTTTCTGGAGATGTCACACATTTCTTTTGCCCTGAAAATCGAATCAAATTAAGTGAATTCAGGGAGAAACATGGGCCAAAACCGAATTAGATACAAAGGAATAGTGAGATCCCATAAAACTTGTGGTTATTGGGCAGATCTGAATATCTGAATATCTGGGGAGCCGTTTGCCCCAACCACTTTCATGTAGTTTCTCGTTTCCGAAACAAACACTTTGATGGACTGCCTGATGGTTTGTTGGCGCACCGCCCCCTATATCTATATCTTTATGATTTTATGATCGACAGGGAACCGCACACGCGGATTTTATGAGCGATGTCAAATGGTTGCGTCAGTTCTTGTTGCGATCGGAAAGAAATATGATTTGTAAGATTGGATATCAAAAACGCTTTAACGAGCTCTTGTATAAATCGCTTGTTATACTTTTTTTTATTTGGGATTTCCCCCTGGGGCGGCAGGTGGGAAAAAGGGGAAAGCGGGGATCCAAACGAACCACACACTCGCCACATAAATTATAATTTTTTCAGCACTCGGTCGCCCAGCGGGACGTTGGCGTAAATAAATAAAATTAATGGAAATATCAAGCACACTGCGCATAAAATTGATAAAAGACGTGAAACGCCGTCTCCCTCTTGTATTGGGTGGGAAAATCAGGGGGAAAATTCAGGAGCCCCGCCCATCGGTTCGGGTTTAAACGGGGTCAAGCGATTGCATTCTGTGTGTTTTTAACAAAAATAGCGCAGACAAAATATAATAACAGAGCGCACAGAGCTGGAAAAGCTGGAAAAACTGGAGAAAGCGAAGCGTCGTCCCAAAATAGTTCTTGCATCTTTTTCCGGTGCAGCAGCAACAGCAGCAACATCGCTGCCCCGCAGCAACATGCAACATGGAAAGGGAGAAACTGCATCGTCTGTGCCGCATTAATGTATCATATGCTCGATTCCACAAAACAAAGGAGACAACGCCACGAAAAGTGCGAAAGGTCATTGTTGTTAGTTTCTGATTGTTGATGGTTGCTGGTTGGTGTTGCTGCGGTCACAATTACTTCCACTTTCCCCGGGGATCGGCTAGACGGGTTCCTTCATTTGTCTCACACTCCAAAATAAATTTGGGGATTGAGATTAGGACATCCCTTGTACAATTCCTTATTCCTTCCATAACCGCTAGCTTCATTAATTTTTTCGAAAATGGTCCTACACCAAAAATTCATACTGTTTTGAACAGATAACAAAATTTGCTATAAATCCATAAAACTTTCCGTGTAATTTTGGAAAAATAAAATTTTCGCCAATTTTTAATTTTTTTATAAGGGGGTACCCCATGATTTTTTGCGAAAAATTAAAAACAATTAAAATTCCGAGGTTTAAATGCCAATCGTTAGGAAATTTAATAACGAGTTCAGAAAGGTATGACAATCCATACTTTGAATCAGTATTTGCTTTGTTTTAGCGAAAAAACCCGTTTTGCTTTTTTTTTGGAAATTCGGGATTTTAGTTTTTGACAAAAATTGGAATTTTTCTTTTGGTTTTTTTGCTGTAACTTGGCCAAAAATGGTCCTACACCAAACTGTTTTGAACAGATAACAAAATAATAAAAAAAATCCAGGACACTTTCCGGGTGATCTTGAAAAAATAAAATTTTCGCCAATTTGTAATATTTTTGTAAGGCTAAATTTAATAACGGGTAACGAAAGGTATGACATTCCATATTTGGAGCAATATTTCCATTGTTACGGTCAAAAAACGAATTATTATTAATTCAAAAAGGCGTACTGTTTTGAGCAGCAACCTAATAATTAATATCAGTCTGATTTAACACGGACAAGGATAACCTATTCGCTTATTTTCTTTCTTGAAAGCTTAAACCATTTTCACAACTTTTTTATAAAGTCCAAAAGCTTATAAGTTTACACAAGTTTTTAGAATACAAACTTGTAAAAAAAGTATTGAAATGTTTATATAAGCTTTAAGTATAAATAAATAAGTATTAATTAATACATTAATAGACAATAGTAACACAACAATAATATATGGAATAATAATTCAAATATATGTTAAAACTTATCCTTGGGCTTGGTCCTTTTTAACATAAAGTTTAAAAGCTCTCAAAAAGTTCCCCAAAGTTATTTAGAAGTGCAACTAGTTTAGCTTCCCACCCAGACAGAGCTTTAGTTCGCTTTTAGACAGTTCCGTTACCACAGGATAAAGCTTTTGGCCTTAAGCTTTTGATAAAGGGATATGATTTTTGAAAATAACACAATTACTTACCTGAAAAAATAGTGTAAACGCTACCCATTGATAATATTTTGTGTGCTTTATTGTTAGAGGCCCGCGGCCCTGTGAATTGTGAACTCCGGGAAAAGGCACCTCGGAACCTTGCTTCTTCATAAACGCATCGACCACTGTATACGTTGAGTGTATCCAACAATATGTGTTGAGAACATCTTCGGGAATGTCTCTGCAAGCGAAGGAATCATATTAATCGGGTTAAATCGAAATAATCGCATATTTATCGAAATAATCGGGCACTTAAAAGGGATCGCTCACCTTGTATGTACACAGTCTATGGGATTTCCTACGTACTGCCGCGTCGTCACAGCAATCGAGAATGTGATCAGTAATATAACCGTTGCGTTGGTGTGCAGGCGAAAAACAGGTGAATCGATTTTGACATGAGACACCTGTTATTATCGTTCGTCGTTGTAATCGATGCGTTATCGGATGTAATCGTGTTTTGTGTGTGATTGATTGTTTGTTGAATTGGTGTTTTTCGGTGGGGACGAAGAGAGAGAGCATTATTATTGGATGTCTTGGCTGGTTTTTAAGTTACATAAGTCCAAACGCAAAAGGTAACCCAAAACATTTAAACGAAAACGGATGATGAGAGAAGTCTCTTGAACGCAAAACTTTTGCTATGTCTGTTCTGAATGAAGTCGAGAGGACTGCTCTCGGGTGCTTTATCATATGGGGTTATATATCTGGTTATGTACATTCATAAGCAATTTCTTTTCCGCTTTCAGGGGTCCTTACAATTAGCTAACTCACTTATCAGTAAATATAGGGGTTTCCCGTCCGCTCGCAATCTGAAGCAATATGTTATCGATATTTTCGATATGTTGTATTGAATAATTAGCATATGACATTCAAGTTGCGGGCGAAGAGGGAAGTTTAAGATTAATGCGAAATAAATACAATTTGCTTTTGGAGAAATTTTCGAATTCATTTCGGTTTGGTTTTGGTTTTTTTTTATCTTATGGCAGGTAAGTATAGTAAGGTGTCACAGCAATTGTTTCGACTTCCTCAGCTAGCTTAAACATTCCTTTCTTTTCTGGTATCAAATCAAAACTCAAGAAAAAAAACAACTAAGTTTTATGTGTATGAGCAAGAGATAGAAAGAGATAGAGAGAGAGGTGTGAGAGAAACGAAAAGTGATTGAACTGCTGGGAATGCAAATTTTCGGGTTTCTTTTTTATTTTTTTTTGCATTTAAGGCGGATATATAATTTACAGATCGGTAGAGATGAGGACTTCTTTCGGAAAGAAGAAAATGGGACCAATTTATGGTCGCCATGTTGTAGTTTTAGCTTTAGCCAATCAAAGTACGCTGCAGATTTCGTTATCGAATTGGAATTGTTGTAACGATGACCACTTAATCGATATTTATCAAAATGTTTTCGCTTGACTGACTGACTGACTGTCTGACTAGTTATGGCTGAGATAGTGAAATCAAAAGGAAAAACACAGGGTTAAAAGGGATAGAGACCTGTGAAATTTCGATAATGGCTTGGTTCAGAATTGATTTGATTTAGAATCGATTTGAATGCAGATTGATTGGCTGAGTGGTTAAGTGAGTGGTTTAAGTTTAAGTTGAATTGAAATTTGGAGTGGTGGTTCGTTTGTGGCGGCCTTAGCGAGGTGAGTTTCGTGAGCTGAGCTGTGGTGAGAGACATACTTTAAGAGGTGAATACTGAATACTGCAGTGATCAGTGATCTGTGATCTGTGATAAGTGATCAGTGATCTGTGATCTGTGACCTGTAATCTGTGAGCAGTGGTGCCACTTGGTGGTGAGTTGTGATCAGTGATCTGGGTGGTTGGTGGTTTAGTGGCATAGTGGTGTCTTTGGTGGTGGTGGATTCGGTGTGATAGAGTGGTGAGATTGAGAACGCGAGAGCGAGCGAAACAGAGATAGAGTGAGATCGAGTGAGAGTGAGTACAATATAGAAACAAATTGAATATATAAGTAGTTGAATGTAAATTGAATTAGGTTTAGGTATACGTGGTGAGAAAACTAGGTGAGTTTGAAATTGAATTGAGTTGAATTGAATTTAATTGAATGTGGCGAAAATGTACGAGAACTGCTTATATAAGATGGTTGAAGTTGAAAATCGGTTTACGTTTAATCTAGTTGTTAGGTAAAATCAAAAACAATACACAAGTTATAGTGAGACAAACAGACATAGAGAGCGAGAGAGATACATATATATATTATATATAGGCGTATATATTAACTGAGAGAGTGAGAGAGATAGTGTGTGTGTGTGTGGCAAAGAGAGAGACAGATAGCACGGCAAAGCTGGGTTCTATGCTTATATATGTTCTGATTTAATATTTAATATCGTTTTTAATAGCCCAGATAGACGTAATATTCTAAGTGGGCCCTGGCCATACTTTCAGGTGTTTTTTATTTTGTTTAGCTCTAGCATTTCTTCGATTTTTTAGCTTTACAATTTTGATTTAGTTGTAACAAGTATTGGTTCTTAATTTTGGGGTATATTTCGCTCTGGTTAATTTTGAAACACAAAATCTGGGACTGAGAGCATACAACTAGCTATTATATTTATATAAAGATTTAGATATAGATATGGTATGGCAGTTTGTTTTGTTTCTGTTGGATATCTCTGTTGTTGCTGTTGTTTAACTGGTTATTGTTGCTGTGGAGTCTGGCATTTGTATCTTGTAGTTTGGAGTTTTTGGTTTCGAGTTTGTAGTTTGGAGTTTGGAGTTGTTTGTTGGTTGCGGTTTATTTCTTTGCTGGTTTCGGTTTACTTTCTTGTTTTATATATATACGATATACGATACTTAAGGCTGACAGAGATACATACATGTATATAAATATAGAGAGTGTGGTTTATTATCTTGTAGTTGCTTTATTTTGTATTGTTTTGGTTTGGTTTTGGTAACGCTTGATTTTCGTTTGCTTTTAATTCTGTTTTTTTTTTTTGCATTTTGCATACTTTTTTTTCAGTGAGTGGGGTCGTGAGATTGCGTGAGAGAGAGAGACAGAGTTTGTATTTTGGTGAGTAAGTGAATCCGTGATTGAGTGATCAAGAGAGATAGAGATAGTGAGTAGTTTTATATAGGTTTATTTTAGTTCAATTTCTTTTGCTTTAGTTCTTCGTTTTAGTTTCAGTGTACTTATGCAGATACGGATACAGAGAGAGAAATAGGGGGTCTTCAGTTGTGGCAACCGACGAGCTGGCGACTTGATTGGCCATTACAAGGTGAGTGGAGAGAGATAGAGAGGTTTTCGGGCTTTCGGATAGAGACAGAGTGATTGTGAGTTAACGTGACACAGAGAGACAGAGCGGCGTGATTCGTGAGACAGAGACAGAGCGTGAAGTTGGGAAACTAATTTGGTTCTCAGGAAGCCCAGAAATCTTTGCGGACACGGCGTAAAACAAGTAAGTGGAATATGTCTAAATGAAATGAATAAAATTTAAGAAAAATGTTTCTAATAAAATATAGTAGATACTATAAAATGCTAATAACTTTAATTTGGGAAATCACTTATAAAGGTGTCCAAAAAAATGCAACACTATATTTTAATGCCGAAATTCCGATAAATTTAGTCCAAAAGACGTCGTTATTTTGATTTCAACAAATTAAATCACAAACTTAAGTTATGCAAGACAAAAAAAAAAAGGAAAATTAAACAACTAATTTCTTAAGATTAAATTACTACATTTGGGAAAATAAAAGGGGGCTTCGAGTCCGCCAGAGATTTCCGGAATCGGAATCGGGATGGGATTTAAGTCGGGACTATATTGGCTTTCAGAGTGTGCTGGCGTGTGAGAGCTTATTTTCGGCATTTGCTAATTTGATGCTGATTCGTGACTTTGGTGACTTTTGGTGATTCGTGACTTTGGTGAACTCGTGATCGTGATCGTGACTTGGTGTTTGTTCGTGTCCTGTGCTTTTGGCGTGTTTCACTTTTAGCTGTTTTTGCTGTCTTTTTTGGAAATTACTTAACATTTTTTGTTTGGCATTAGGATTTTGCATTGCGCATTGTATATATTTGCTGTTGTTGTTTCTTGTTGTGATTTTGGTGAGAGGCAGAGGCAGATTTTTGCATTACGTTCATCACAATTGTCACAATATAGATATATATATTTTTTGGTTTTGGTTTTTGGTTTTGGCGTGAGTTCTGGTGGGATGTTGGGTCCAAATTGGCAGAGTTTATACTTTTAAATTAGCAGAGGTCAATCTTTAAGTGAGGCGTTTACTTTTGGATTTCTGGGTGTATTTTTTCAAATAGATTTGTTTTTTTTTTTTGGCACTTTCCAGGGTTTGGACTCGGGTTCAAACACACACTATACAAAAAAACACATCTCATATCAACGACAGAGAGAGAGGGCAACAGAGAGAGAGAGAGAAAGAGACAGAGGGAGAGTGGGGCAGAGCGATATAGATAAAGAGAGAGAGGGGAAGTGAGCTGTGGAAAGAGACAGAGCGATGATCTTTGGAAGGCGTAAATCAAAAGTAAAAGTACGGAAAACCATAAAGCGAAAGTGTCTACGTAACGAAATCGAAACGAGCAAAGAAAATGGGAAATGCGCGCACACATAAAACAGAAACAGGCCAAGGGGATTTTCCGGGATTTTCTCGGGCTTTTCCCGGGGGGGTGGGGAAAGCTACAGTGCGTCCCATGCAGCTAGGACCCTGGCTTCTCAATCTATAGATTCAATATATTGCTTTATTGCCAATCAATGCCGTAGATATTAATTAACATGGGTATTGTTCTGTGCTCTGTGGGTGCTGTTCCCCATTGTCTTGCACTCCAAAGACCCACATTACCCGCAGGGTGATTTCAAATTAAATTCTCAGACTCTGCTGGAGATCCCCTAACATTCGAATATTAGACTTACACCCCCGGCACGGACTGTACGCCGATCCCCCGACTCCTCAAGGAGTAGCAAAATCCTTTGACCAACCCAATCTGGACGAGTGCACCCTTGGGTTATAATGGAATTCAGCCCAAGTGGATGAACAACGACTCTGCCCAGCCCCCCTTCGCTCGCCGCCACTGCCTGGCACTGCTTGGCCGGGGTGTAAGCAGTAAGTAGCAAGTAGCGAGCAGCAAGTAGCATGTGTAATAAGTATCATGTGCGCTGGACTGACTTACTCAGTGCTGATTAACGAAATGAGGGCCAGAAGACTCTGACTCCGACTCCTCCCCGGCTGACTGACTTATGCCCAGTAACCATAACAATGAATTTTATGCCCCCTTTCGCAGGGCGCAAGAGTCCAACCCCCCTTTCTCGCCTACTGGTAACTGCCACTGACTGTCGACTGTTAGTGCCACTGCTGCTGCACAGAGAGAAAATTCGCTGTGTTTTGTATTTGTAGTATTTAATAGTTTACAAGAAAAAAATATAAAAATCTTAAAAAAAAACCCTAATTA